GAGAATTCCATGGACTGAGGAGCCTGTGGGCTACAGTCCATTGAGTCACATAGTTGGACACGACTGAGCCACTAATAGGACTTCCATAGCAGCTCAGATGGTAAAGTGTCTGTCTACCATGCAGGAGACCTGGGTTCGATCCCTGGGTCAGGAAGATTCCCTGGAGAAGGAAACAGCAACCCACTCCAGTATTCTTGCCTGGAAAATCCCATGGACGGAGGAGCTTGGTGCAGGCTACTGTCCATGGGGTCGCAAAGAGTCAGGCACGACTGAGCCACTAATACACATCCATTAGGATGACGATCACCATAAAAATAAAACAAAATATGTGTTGGCAAAGATGCGGAGAAATTGGAACCCTGGAATCTTTGTTTGTTGCTGGTGGGAATGTAAAATGGTACAGGTGCCAGGGAAAACAGTCTCACAGTTCCTCAAAATGTTCAGCACGGAATTACCATGTGACTCAACATTTCCGCTCCCAGGTAGACACCCAAGAAATGAAAAGATGTTCATACAAACACTTGTACAGGAATGCTGATAGCAGCATGATTCAAGATAGCCAAAAAGTGGAAACTACCAAAGTCTATCCATAAATAAATAAAAAACAAAACATGATTTGGCCTTGCAATGGAATGTTACTCAGACTAGGGCCTGAACAGTATGGAGGTTCCTCAGAAAATTAAAAATAGAACTATCCAAAACATTATAAGTCAACTCTATTCCAATAAAAATATTGGAATGGTTCCACTCTTGGATATTTATCTGAAGGAAACAAAGCTGTTCTTTTGAAAAGATAGCTGAGAATTCCCTGGTGATCCAGTGTTTGGGACTTGGCACCTTCATTTCAGGGGCCGGGTTCAATCCCAGGTTAGGAAACTGAGTTCTTGCAAACTTGCAGCTTTAAAAAAAAAAAAGGAAAGAAAGAAAGAGGACTTCCCTGGTGGTCCAGTGGTTAAGAATCCACTGTCCAATGAAGGAGTTGCAGGTTTGATCCCTGGTCAGGGAATTTGCCACAGAGCAATTAAGCCTGAGTGTGGCAACTACTAAGCCTGCTTGCTAAAACAAAGAACCTGGGAGTCAAAATAGTAAAAAGATATCTGGACCTTGTGTTCCTAGCCCTGTTACAACCTGGGGATGAAATCCTCTAGTACCTTTCATAAAAGCAGTGGGAAAGGATTCCTGGGTTGGAAGAATAGCATGTACGGAATGCAGAGAATAAATGAAATTCATTCATTCAACCAATACTGTTGACCATCTGCCTGTAATGACTGGACACTGATTCAGGTACTGAGGCTGAGAGGTTCCCTGGCCTGGCACTCATGCAAATGGAGGTGATATAATCAAGTCAGTCAAAAGAATTTCAACCAGTGAATGAGTTTCAGCAATGATACCATTAGAGCAAGTGATGGAATGATTAGGCTGTGGCCCAGGATGGAAGGGGCCAGAGGAGCATTGGGGAAAAGTGTTTTTTTTTTTTTAATTTTCCTGATTCTGGGAAAGATTGAAGTCAGGAGGAGAAGGGGAAGACAGAGGATGAGATGGTTGGATGGCATCACTGACTCAATGATCATGAGTTTGAGCACGCTCTGGGAGTTGGTGATGGACAGGGAAGCCTGGCATGCTGCCGTCCACAAGGTTGCAAAGAGCTGGACATGACTGAGCGACTGAACTGAACTGAATGTATTTATTTATTTATTTATGGTTGCACTGGGTCTTCGTTACTACTTGGACATTTTTCTAGGTGCAGATAGCTGGCTTCTCATTGCAGTGGCTCCTCTTGTTGTGGAGCACAGGTTCTAGGTGTGAGGGCTTCAGTAGCTGCTGCACTCGGGCTCAGGTGCATGGGCTTAAATGCTCTGAGGCATGTGGGATCTTCCTGGACCAGGGAAGGAACCATTGTCTCCTGCATTGACAGGCAGATTCTGACCCACTGTACCACCAGGGAAGTCCTCAGGAAAGCTTGTAAGTGGGGGCTGAGGCCCCAAGAAAGGACTGGCTCCATCAGGGATGAGAGGAAGCGAATTCCAGTTGAAGGGAAGAGCAAGGTGGTCACACCTAAGCTCAGGATGAGTTCCGAGCAGGCATAGCTCCCTGGAGTGGAGTTTGGGTACTTCTGCCCTGGTGCACAGCCTCTGGTCTGCACTGGAGCCATTCCGCCCTTCCTGAGACTGCTTGGAACCCTGGAGGAAGCCCTGCCCTTCCCGGTGGCTTTGGAAAGGGGATGGGGGAGCATCTGCTTCCCTTTCTTTCAAGAAAGAACAAAGGGAGTGCAGACGGACAGTGCAAGTGTTTTCTGCCAAACTGTCCCTCATTATCACCCCATCCTTATCTCAGGAAATGGCCCTCCACCCCTTCAGGACATCAGAGCAGGACCAAGGAGCTGACCTTGACTCTGCTCTGCCCTCAAGTCCCAAAAGTGCAATGTGCCCTGCTGCCAAAATGAATGCCAAATTGGACCACATCTCCAGTCTCCATGGCCCACTCCAGGCTCCCGGTTTCCTGATTCCACCCTGTCCTCAACCAAACCTCCACCCCCCGCCCCCCACGGCTACTGTAGCTCCTGCTGTATCAGGGGGTGCCTGTAAATGCCTGAGTCAGGGGTGTCTCCCCTCTGCTCGGAACCCTCCATGGCTCCCACTTCACTCAGAGGAAAAGTCAGTTCTCCCCAGCCCATGCTCTACTCATTCCCTCCCTGCCCGCCTCTCCCCCAATTCCCTCCCTCCCTGCACTTTAGCAACAGCAGCCTCCTGGCTTTTCCTTAAGTCAATTCCAACCTCAGGGCCTTTGCACATCCAGTGCACTTTGCCTGGTACATTCCTTCCCTGATATAATCAGGACTCACTCCTCACCTCCCTCTATTCCTGGCTGAGTATCACCTTCTCAGTCTTTCCCACGATACTCTATTTAAAGTTTCCTGAACCCTCACATTTCCTATTCCCTTCCCTGCTTTACTTTTTCTTAGCACTGAGCACAAGCTACGTCTCCATATGTTTTATTTTTTTAAACATTTATGCATTTATTTATCTGTGTTGAGTCTTAGTTGTTGCTTGGGTGATCCTCCATCTTCTGCTTCCACTTGGGGAATCTTTAGTTTTTCTCCTTGCGGAGCACAGGCTCTAGGGCGCTTGGACTTCTGTAGTTGTAGGACGGGGACTCAGTTGCGGCTCCCAGGCTCTCGAGCGCAGGCTCAATAATCGTGGCGCATGGGCTTAGTTGCTCCAAGGCATGTGGGATCTTCTCAAATCAGAGATCTAACCCGTGTCCCCTCCATTGGCAGGCGAATTTCTTATCACTGAGCTACCAGGAAGTCCACACTCCAGGCTGTCAACACTGTTTAAGCAACTGTGGAGCTAGAGAAGAAAGAACCACGGTTTACGTTTTAAAACTGCCGTAAAACTTGGGCCGCGCGGGGGAGCTCTCCGCCCACGCACTAGGAGCTGGGTCCAAAATAAACAGTGATCTGAACTTGCTAAAAACCCGCCGGAAAGTGACCCCAGCGGAGGATTTTCCCAGACCTTCCCAGGGACGTCCCCGGCCCCGACTCGGCACTTTTTCCCAGGCCTTTTTGGGCGGGAATTCAGCACCCTCCACCCTTAAGAAGAAAGATCTCCGTGGAAATTCCTTAGGAACAATCTGGGCTGAGCGAGGAACGCTTTTCTGGCTGGACAGTGACTCGCAGCCCCTTCCCCGGGGACGGGCTCGAGCGTCCCTGAACGATCCTCCCTTCCCCTTCTGCCGCGCGACCTTCTTGGCCCTTCTCTGGTCTCCATGGCGACGAGGCGCGCGCCCCACAACAGGAAGCCTAAGGCGGCCGGGCTCCGCGCTTGGAGACTCCAGGATCCCTAGCCTTGAAGGGGCGGTTGCCGAGTCTGTGGACCACCCGCGCAGCCGTGGCCTGAAGCTGGGGGCAATGGCGAGCGAGCGCTTAAGTGCGCAACGCGGGATCTCCCAGCATCCCGCGCCCCCTCCCTCCAAATGCAAATAGAACAAGCCCGGGAAGAACACCCGCACAGATTTACTGCTGGCGCCTGGGGTTGGAGTTTCAGAAGCTGCGCGCGGAGGGCGGGGGTTTGAGCGCCCCCTCTACTCCCCCATTCCGGGGCCTGGGAGCTGCCTCAGTTTCCCTGCAGAGGGCAAGGGTTCGAGCGCCCCCGCTCCCCGCCTGGGTCAAGGTCTTTGTCCTCAGTTTCCCCGTGGAGCCTGGGAACAGCAACTCGCTGCGTCAGGACCATGAGGCTTCCTTCTTTTTTTTCCTAAAAACTGTAAAGACGCCCCCGTGGCCGAGGTCCAGACTGAAAGGGGAAGCGATGAGTGGGGGAGTAGGAGCGCCCATCTGTGGGGGATGCAGCGTCCCGGATGTGATGCGCCTCGAGTCTTCCCCTCCAGGGTTCACAGGCGTCTGGAAGTGCCTGGGCCTGCTGCGGTCGCTTCTCGAGAAATCTCGGTGTCATCTGGGCGGGTACTTGCCCCTCAGGGCAGGGGTACCCGTGATCGAGAGCGCCCCAGGAGGATCCTGGGCCCCCACCGAAGTGAGGGATGGTCCACTCGATTAGAGGCCTGCTTGCGCTGGGGAGTTAAGACTTGAGTTCGAATGCCCTCGAAGCTGGAAGCCTCAGTCTACCCCTCCGTGGAAGGAACACGATAACAGTCCCTACCGTCCAGGGTGGTTGGCAGGATCCAATAAAGCACTTAGCGCAGTGTAAACGCAAACTCAAGGTTAGCCTAGCCCGGGGACAGTAACCCTAGCTCCGGGAGCCGACCCCGGGTTATTTGTTGGTTGCCGCCGCCAGGCAGCCCTCACGACTTGAATTCGGAAATTCCGGCGCTGAGCGGCCAGCGAGGAGGGACAGCCCGACTCTGGCCAGGCACCCTCTCAATCCGGAAATGCCAGGGCCCTTGTTCCGGAGGGGAAAGCATGAGGTTTCCGGGAAGCACCGCCCCCTCGGCCCCCCTCGGCCTGCCCATGGTTATAAAAGGACCCGCGAAGCCCAGGGCGCCAGTCTTAGCCGAGCGTCTCCGCCGCAGCTCGTCCGCCCCGCCTCTGCCGGCGATGGCTCCCGGCGCCGCCCCTGCCGCACAGCTTGCGTTCCTGGCCCTGCTCGGGACTCTGCTCCCAGGTGAGTCAGGGTTGAGGGCTGCCGTCGAGTCAGCTTTCCGGATCCGAGATGCGCCCTGAAGCCGTGGGAGGACCGGCTCCCGACCGGCTGGGAATAGGCCATTCGTGCTCAGGTCGCTGTTTCTGGGAAGTTGGGGTTAGAGGACCGATTGAAAGTCAACAGCCGTGGGTTCCCACCCAGACCCCTCATGGCCCGACTGTGTGCTCTGGGACCGCGGATTGCCCCTGCCGAGGATCTGCAGGTTTTCCGCTGTAAAATGGAAACGTTAACAGTGGCCAGCTCGTAGTGATTGTGTCCTGGCCCCAGGAGGTGGTCTGACAGTGTGGACACACGCCCCAACCTTAGGTGGACTGGACACCCCCCCACCCCGCCATGCACATTCTGTTCCTCACCCTGTGCCCCTGGGGGAAGTCCGGGACTCTGCTCAGGGGAATTCCAGGGCTGACTTGCCCAGGGAGCAGAGGTTGAGAAGTGGGATGCCCCAGCCGCCCTTCCTCACCTCCAGCGAGGAGGAAGGGGAGAAGAGGAACTGTGCTGTGTGCTGTGCTAAGTTGCTTTAGTCGTGTCCAACTCTTTGCCACCCCATGGACTGTAGCCTGCCAGGCTCTTCTGTCCACGGAATTCTCCAGGCAAGAATACTGAATTCCCAACCCAGTCTCCTGAGTTGGGAGACTGGAACCCATGTCTCCTTGGGCTCCTGCATTGCAGGCAGATTCTTTACTCTTGAGCTACCGGGGAAGCCCAGGAGAAGCAGGACAGCTGGTCTCAAATGGTGGTCACTTCGAAAAACAGGAGTGTGAAAAATCCACACCGTGGTTACCAGCTCAATGAAGAATTCTAACCCAGTCTCTAATCCGGAGTCTACCCCTTTCTAGCTGAGTAACCTCCCTTTGTGTGTGGGGCTCACCAGGCTCCTCTGTCCAAGGGATTTCCGGGCAAGAATACTGGAGTGGGTTGCCATTTTCTCCTCCAGGGGATCTTCCCAACCCAGGGATCAAACCAGGATCTCTTGCATTGGCAGGCAAATTCTTTACCACTGTGCCACCTGGGAAGCCCCAGCATCCCTTCCAATCTCAAAATTTCCTTCTGATATGGGAAGGGTTCCAGAATCATCCTTGGAGAATTCAAAGAGCTGCTGTTTCCCTCCATCCCAGATGGAGTAGACCCAAAGTTGAGGGCAGAAATCTTTTTTTTGGGGGGGGGGCAGGTAGGACGGATGGGCTCAGAGACATTTTTTCAGCTTTGAAAGTGCCATGGGCTGAGGGAGCTCATCAGAACAGACCTCTTTCTTATCTGCAGCCACTGCCTGCCTGCCCTGTACTAGGAGTTACTTGTGTCAGCGGAAGTTGTGGTGACTGTATTTGCCCACTTTACAGATAGAGGAAAGTGAGGCCCAGAGAGGAGAAACCACTTGTCCAAGGGAGTGGGGACCAGCCTGATTGGAGCCCCTTCACCCCTGAAGGGCTGGCTCCCTCCCCTTGATCTCTTGGGATTGTAACATACACTGACTTCATGCCCATCTTTTGCTAAAATCCTCCATGGCTGCTCAGAAGGTCCTCAGAATGAAGACCACATCCCTGGCATGGCTTAACACTGCCTGTATGATCCTCTTGACCCTGTTTCCCCCGACCTATCCCCTTACTCCACTCCAGCCACCCTGCCTCAGGACCTCTGCACTTGCTTTCCTAGAGGTCCTTTCCCTTTTCTCTGGAATGGCCCGCCCCTGCTCTGCATCCTGATCTCTGCTCACATATTCCCCAGTCACCAAGGCACTGTCTGTTCTCTCATCCAGTTTTGTTTTTGCCAAAACCCTTGTCAGCATCAGTTGTTAATTATGTTGTTTGCTCATGAATTTTTCTGTCTCCCACAATGAAGGCAGAGTTTTGTCTTGCTCAATGCTGTGTTCCCAGCACGGGCTGGATGCAGTAATATTGATGAGCCCCAGCTGTCATGCCTGACCACCCGCCCTTTTGATTCCAGGGCCTGGAGGTGCCAGAACATCAATACATCCTTCAAAAGCCATCATACCCCGTGGAGGCTCCCTGAGGGTGAACTGCAGTATGTCCTGTGACCAAAAGGCAACGTTTGGCCTAGAGACTGAATTAACCAAGAAGGTGGTGAGCCATGGGAACAACTGGAAGGTTTTTGAACTGAGTGATGTGCAAGAAGACATCAACCTGTTGTGCTACTCAAACTGTCACAGTGAACAGACAATAGCTTCGATGAACCTCACCGTATACTGTGAGTGGCTGGGTCCAGGGCCTGGGCTAGGCAGACTGGGTGGGGGTGGTGGACAGGGGAGTCCCAGCAGGTTGGAACAACCTTTGTACTTGGTGGGTAAAGTCAGGGTCTCACTGAAGAGCAGGGGTCTGTCTTTGGAAAGTCTCATTGTTGTCTGGAACCCTTCCTTGAACTTCCTTGGGCGTGCCTTGGGAGTATGGTCAGAGAATCAGAACATTCAAGAATGCTGGCTCTCTAGGCCTCTTTAAACAGATGAGAAGGTCATAGATCTGACTCTTTAGAAAAAGATGCTGGGGGTTTCCTGGCAGTGGTTAGAATTCCAGGCTCTCACTACCTTGGACTGGGTTCAATCTCTGAGATCTACAATCCTGCAAGCCTCACAGCTTGACCAAAGGGGGAAAAAAAAGATGAGAATGAAAATTAGCCCTGAGATGACGCTTTTCCCTATTTGGCAACAATCCAGAGAATTGATAACGGCTGTGCTGGCAAGAGTGTGGGGACACAGGTAATCCTGGGACATTGCTGACAGTGTGGGGGTGCAAAAAGCACAACTTCCAGTGGGGGAGGGGGTATCAGTCTTCAAAAATGTCACATAAGGGGGTCCTTTAATAGAGAAAACCCACTCCTGGGAATTGGGCCGATAGATGTTCCTACCCATGAGGGAACTGAAAGGGGGTGGGGTTATTTACTGTGGCTTGATCTGGAAGGGCAAAAGTTTGCAAGCCACTCAAATGTAGGGAACTGGGGAAGGAAAGCAGTTCGATCGTGGAATAGTATGCAACTGTATAAAAGAATGAGACCGCTCTCCCCAACCCCTGGCAATCACTAGTCTGCTTTCTGTCTCTGTGTTTTCCTATTCTGGACATTTTTTTTACATGGATCATGGAGTGTGTGGAGCAGTGTATCTGGCTTCTTTCACTTATTAAACTGTTCGAGGTTTATCCATGTTGCAGCATGTATTAGTACTTAATTCCTTTTATGGCTAAATAATATTTTATTGTATAAATGTAGAACATTTTATCTACCCATCAGCTGATGGCCATTTGGCTTGTTTCCATATTTTTAGGTGGGGTAGTGGTCACTCTAACGGAGAGAGAGTGCTGGTGGTTGATGGGTGCATTTAGGGGACTTCTGCAGTGACTAAAAAATTCTCCTATCTTGAGTAGTATTTACAAGAGTCCTAACCTTAAAGTAGTTATATTAACCTGCACATTTACTTTTTTTATGGTTTTCTGCTTCTTAGTATAACAATTAAAAATGTTTTTTAAAAAAGAATGAGATGAAAACTCCCAGGTGTACTGTCAAGTTCCAAAGAAGTAAGGTCCTGTCCAGAATCAGTAGTACCCTACCACAGTGTTAGAGAGCCACAGGGGCTAGGTGAGGAAGACTGTTTCTGCATTAAAGAGCCCTGAAAGGAAACACAGTAAATGACAATAATAGCTGGCTGTGAGGAGAGAAGCTGGGGGGCTCTGGGAAAGGGCAAGGGGTCTAGTTTTCTCTGTGTAGAAAACTTTTGTTTCCTTTGAGCATTTTGAAGTGTGACAGTGAGTTAACATGAATATAAGCGATAAATCAGTTCAGTTCAGTTCAGTCTCTCAGTCATGTCCAACTCTTTGCAACCCCATGGACTACAGCACTCTAGGCTTCCCTATCCATCACCAATTCCTGGAGCTTGCTCAAACTCATAACCATCGAGTCGGTGATGCCTTCCAACCATCTCATCCTCTGTCTTCCCCTTCTCCTTCCACCTTCAATCTTTCCCAGCATCAGGGTCTTTTCCAGTGAGTCAGTTCTTTGAATCAGGTGGCCAAAGTATTGGAGTTTCAGCTTCAGCATCAGTCCTTCCAATGAATATTCAGGACTGATTTCCTTTAGGATTACTGGTTTGATCTCCTGGCAGTCTAGGGGACTGTCAAGAGTCTTCTCCAACACCACAGTTCAAAAGCATCAATTCTTCAGTGCTCAGCTTTCTTTATGGTACAACTCTCACGTACACACATGACTACTGGAAAAATGAATCCACCTCTAATGCAGGAGACCTGGGTTCAATCCCTGGGTTGGGAAGAGCCCCTGAAAGGGGAAAAAAGTGGGAAAGGCTACCCACTCCAGTATTCTGGCCTGGAGAATTCCATGGGTACTATATTATTCATTTGGGCTTCCCTGATAGCTCAGTTGGTAAAGAAATAGAGACATGAATTTCAGATGAAAACAGAAGAAAATAAAAAAGGAGGAAAGAGGACTGGCCTACTGGCCTTGGGATTAGACAGCCTTGGGTTCACACACATGTGTGTGTGTGTGTGTGTGTGTGTGTGTGTTCAGTTGTGTCCAACTCTTTGTGTCCCCATGGACTGTAGCCTGCCAGGCTTCTCTGTTCATGGGATTCTGTAGGCAAGAATACTGGAGTGGTTGCTGCTTCCTACTCTAGGGGATCTTCCTGACCAGGGTTTGAACAAGCATCCACTGTCTCCTACATTGGCAGGTGGATTCTTTACCACTGAGCCACCTGGGAAACCCCGAGTCACAGTAGGGTCCGCACTAACTGGGTGACCCCAATGTGATGGAGCGAGGGGGGAACCCATGGCTCCTGACTGATTTTCACTTGAAACCTCCTTGGAAGGATTTAATGATGCAGTGAGGCCTGAAGGACATTCTGCCTTCACAGTACCTGTGTCAAAGAAGCTCTGGGGTAAATATCAGGTTTCTTTCTGGTTTGAAGGATTTTGAGCAGCGGCTAGCCAAGTGAGGGAAGTCCCCAAACATTCCCAGTGGCCTCTGAAACCACACCCCCACCCAGAAACCTCCTCGCAGGACTGTCTGCCTCTCAGCCTGAGCGTTGAGAGCCCCTCCCTCCAGGTTTGAGTCCTTGCACTACTACATTTCTCCTTCTTTGGGTTCCAGACTTTACCTTAGTTTTCACCTCCGTGAAATGGAACAGATGGGCATACCCAGTAGCAAGGTGTCACCTAGGAGACACTGTAGCTTGATCTTGCCCCACCACCAGTGGAAAGATAAGGGAACATCTCTGGGTGGCTGAGCTTTCTCTAGAAGGAGCTGTAATTCCTGCAGGAGAGAAGCCCTAGCTGGGCTTCGTAGGACGTGTAGGAGTTGGTAAAGACAGGCATTCTAGTCAGAAGAGGCAGACTGGGCAAAGGTTTGGAGTGGGCAAACAAACAGCCTGGGATTGGGGAAACCAGAGGGATTGACTATCAGAAGATCAGTGTCACTGGAGCTGAGTTTCGCAGGACCTTCAATGCCAGGCTGTGAAGCTGAGACTTCCCCTTTGAGTAATAGGGAGCCATGGAGGATGTGTAAGCAGGCCAGGGATCTAGAGCAGAGGCCTGAACTTAGAGGAAGCCAGAGAGCAGCTGGCTGTGGACCCAATCCAGGTCACACATCTCATGGGCACTGACACATACAAGAAGGGAGTGGTCGACATACATTTGAAGGGTGGAGTAATCAGGACTTAGTTTGGGACTAAAGATGGGGAGTCAAGGAGAGATACCGGTGGAACAGACCTCCTGCCCCAGTCTGGCTTTCAGGGCAGGGAGCTAGGCTTGCAGATGTGAGTCCCATTTGGGGACTGTGGTTTGAGGAGGCCTTCGGCTCTGCAAGCAAGGGTTTGCAACAGATGGTCAGAAGTAAGGGTTGAATGTCTGGGGGTTTTCTCACCCCCTCTTTTTTAACAGCTTTTAATGTACAATGCAATGAACTTTGGTGTATTTATAGAGGTGTACAACCACAATCTACTTTAAGAATGTATCTGTCATACCCCTCACCTTAAAATTAACTTCCTGCCCATTTAGTCACTCTTGCAACTTCTGAAGTGGATTAATAGTCCTAAAAAAAATAATATTACTCCTGCCTTCATTAGCCCCAGCTTACAGCTTAGAAACTGAGGCTTGGTTTCTATAGCCACAGGGCTGGGACTGTTCAGTGGCAAAGTCACTCCCCCATAACCCATAGCAAAGAAGCAGAAAAGCTAGGAATTAACTCTAGGCTCCTAGCATGTTAAGATCTCTGCTTTTTTTTTTTTTTTGGTTGGAAAAGGAAAGTTTGCTTTGTTCAGGAGGTTGGCAACCTGGGGGGAAGTGAACTCATGTCCCAAAACCAACTCCCAACATCACTGCTGTTTAAGTGATATTTCAGGGCCTCTTGAGAAGGGACTAGGAGTAGGAAGCCTCAAGATCCCTCCTTGGGGGGTCTAGGGTGGAGCAGAGGGGTCTCAATGCCAAGCCACAGCTCATGCTGGCAATTTCCACTGGCAGGAAGATCCAGGCTTGGAATTCTTACCTCATGCAGAATGGAGACCCTGGTCTGTGAATACCCTGCCCACAGATGGTGGTTTCAGGGGATACTTGGGTTTGTTTGTTTGTTTGTTTATTTTGAGCATCTGTGGATTGTTCTTACATTTTTGACATTTCAGGGGATTGGCCAGTTTATTTGGGAACCTTCAAAAGCAAGCTTCCGAAAGGCCTCGAATAGGTGTGGGTAGTCCAACCTCATTCTTTCTACAAACACAGAGCACCTCCTGTGTGCCAACAGTACAGCAGGAAACAATACAAAGATTCCTGCCCCCCTGGACCAACATTCCATGGCAGGAATAATAGAGAAACCAATGAACTCAGTCAATGATCTTGTATCTCAGAGGTGAGAGATGCTATGCAGAAAAATATAGCCAAAGAGAGAAGGAAGAACAGAAGTTTTGTTTTGTTTTGTTTTTACAGCAAAGTCTAGAGACTGGGCAGCTTAAATGTACTGTATTTATTTGCTGGGACTCCTGGCAATAGACTTTGAACTTCCTTTCCCACTTGTGACTCTCAGATGCTGCAGTGAATAAAGAATTGTTTTGCCTCCTTCACAACCACTTGGGGAGGTCTCACCAGGTTATCCTGAAGCTCTTAACATTCCGATCTGGCTTAGGTGGTTTGGGGAGTGTTCTGGGGAGAAAATGGTGAGGTTCCTGGAGCAGGTGTGTCCAGGACCCCAACACACCCACTGTGGGCAGGCAGCCAGCCTGTCCTGTTCATACAACACCCCTTTCCCCTGCAGGGATCCCGGAGCGCGTGGAGCTGGATCCCCTGCCCCTCTGGCAGCCTGTGGATGAAGAACTCAACCTGAGCTGCCTGGTGTATGGCGGGGCCCCCAGGGACCACCTCTCCGTGGTGCTGCTCCGAGGGGAGGAGGAGCTGGGCCGGCAGCCAGTGGGAAAGGGGGAGCCCACCGAGGTCATGTTCACGGTGCAGCCAAGAAGAGAGGACCATGGCATCAATTTCTCTTGCCGCTGGGAACTGGACCTGCGGTCGCAAGGGCTGGAACTCTTCCAGAACACCTCGGCCCCCAGGAAGCTCCAGACCTATGGTGAGGCACTGGGGAGCCAGCAGAGAAGATGGGATGAAGGGGATTTCTTGCTTGGGATGCGGGGTCCCTGGGAAGGAGAGGCCCCTGGCCACGAGGCTGCTGAGAAAGTGGCAACCTTGATTGCAAAGGCTTCTGGGAAGAGCATCTTCTTGGCCACTGGGGTGTAATGTTCTAGGCTGGGTGCCTGCACTGCAGGATGATCTGAGAAGGCTGTGACCCAGGGCAAATGGTACATGTGTCCTAAGACAAGAGTGACCCAGCCAGTTTCCCTGGAAGAGGGCGTTCCAGGCGGGGGGGATGGAAATGGCCCTTGAGAGGGTTTTAGGATGTCTCTCTGCCCCCTCTCTGTTTACACCGGCTCTGTCTCACCAGTCCTGCCATCGACCGACCCGCACCTTGAGGCCCCCCGGGTTGTGGAAGCAGGCTCACGGTGGCTGGTGAAGTGCACGCTGGATGGACTATTCCCAGCCTGGGACGCTAAGGTCTACCTGGTGCTGGGGGACCAGAAACTGGAATCCAATCTCACGTACAATGGTGACTCTGTCTCGGCTGAGGCCTGGCTGGAGGAAAATGAGGAGGGCACCCATTCCTTGAAGTGTTCAGTGAATCTGGGAGAGAAGGATCGGAGAACGCGCAGCAACGTGACCATCTACAGTAAGTAGAAACACAAGTGAGCCTTCTGAGGGGGTGGGGCTAATGCCAGGGGCGGGGCTCACTGTGTGTCTCACCTCCAGGCTTCCCGGTTCCCACCCTGACCCTGAGCCCGCCTGAGGCCTCAGAATGGACTACTGTGACTGTGGAATGCGTGACCCGTGATGGAGCTGTGGTGATGCTGAACGGAGTCTCAGCTGAGCCTCCGGGTCCGAGGGCCCAGTTGAAGCTGAACGTCAGTGCCGACAACCACGGGACCAACTTCTCCTGCTCTGCTGCCCTGAAGATAGCTGGGCAGGTGGTCCACAAAAACCAGACCCGGGAGCTCCATGTCCTGTGTGAGTGAGGCCGCTGGACAAGGACCCCTCAGTTCCAAGCCCCAACCACCAAGACCCTATGAGCTCCTGCCCTCCAAGGCCTACCCTCACCCCTACTAACCATGCCCCCCCCCCCAATCTTGCTGTGTTTCTTCAGACGGCCCCCGACTAGACCAGCGGGATTGCCTGGGAAATTGGACGTGGCAGGAAGGCTCGGAGCAGACCTTGAAGTGCGAGGCCCGGGGGAACCCAATCCCCAAGCTGAACTGTAGCCGGAAGGGGGACGGGGCCTCACTGCCCATCGGGGACCTGAGGCCTGTCAAGTGGGAGGTGGCGGGCACCTACCTGTGTCGGGCCACCAGCGCTCGTGGTGAAGTCACCCGTGAAGTGGTCCTGAACGTGCTCCGTGAGTTCGAGTTCTGGGATGGGCAGGGCAGGGGCAATTTGGCCAGCTCAGCGCTCACTGCTGTCTTGTGTCCTCCCCACAGATGGCCAGAATATCCCGGGTATTGTCATTCCGGTAGTAGCTGTGGTCCTCATCTTGGGTGCTCTGGGCACTGCCGGTTACATCTACAACTACCAGCGGAAGATCCAGATATACGAGCTGCAAAAGGCCCGGAAGGCCCAAGAAGAGGCTGCCTTGAAACTGCATGCACAATCCACACCACCCTGAACCCACTCCAGGATGAGACCTCTTCAGCTCCCCAAGCCATGACAAATGGGGCTGCATCAACCAATGGTGGACATATGCTGTTAAGCTACACCCACCTTCCCTGGATGCCAGAGGACCAAATAGAGGACTCAGTCAGGACAAACAGCATCTGGGGTCATGGCCTCTGCACAGTTACGACCCCCAGACCTCACACCTGACCTGGAGCCACAGGACTGAGACAAAAGAAGGGGCCAAGACTCAGGGCATGACTCTGAGGGATGTCACAGTCTGACCTGGCCGGAGGCTGTGTGATGGAGACCCTTACCTCCAGCATGGGGACGCTCAATTGGGAAACATTGAAACTCACCCCCTGCTGCATGTGCTGAGGTCCTACAGTCCTAAGAGAGACGTGGCCCTGCTCAGACACATGCAGCATTGAAACACAAATCCCCACACTTCCTCTGAACAGAAACCAGCTCCGGCATTACTGTCCACAGACTGTTCCCAAATCTTGATGATGACATATTTATTCACTGTTTTTTCTGCTAGCTATTTATTGAGTGCCTTCTATGGGGGCTAGAATTTGTAAACAAGAACATTGATTCCAGCCCTCAGGGAGCTCTCGGTCGAATCTCATTCAGGGTCGTCAGGTACAGTTATTCTGGCTGTGCACTGCACACAAGTGCCTGGCAAAAAGATTAAGTGGGGCTAGGATTTCCCACTCTATTGGCCAAGCTGCTTTCTCCCAGAAAGGGATTAGTAATGATGATAGGATATTGCTGGTGATATGCCCAGAGATGACCCACTGAGCCCTTATACCCCAGAACTAGCACTGACCTCTGTTAAGACACCTCTCCACCCATATGCATCTCTGCTAATGCTCACAATGACACTTGGTGGTTGTTTAGTCACTAAGTCGTGTCCAACTCTTGCGACCCATGGACTGTAGCCTCCCAGGCTCCTCTGTCCATGGGATTCTGACACTTGGTGGCAGGCCTACATGTCGGTGCTCACTCCTTGATAGCAACACCCCAGGGTCGCATGAAACTCTGCCCAAGCCCTTTGTGCCTTGCTCTTCCTGTTTCCATCTCAGTGGGACCACACAGCTCCAAATTCCTGCAGCGATGAGGGTCCTGCAGGCAGTGGGGAGGAGAGGCCTGGGAGTAGCCCCTCCCAGCGTGGGAAGCCTCTCCCTTGTGCTAATAAAGCTGTTTCATCCTCCCAGCCTTGTGAGTTGAGAGGAGGTGTCTTGTCCAGCTGGAGCCCTTTCTACCAGTTTTCCCACTTCCTGCTCCAAGAAAAGGCTGCCGAGTTCAAGGCCCAGCCCTCAGGCACTAATCCAAATATGAGGTTTATTAGGGCCTTTGGAGACTTTAGTGAAAAAGAAAAAATCCCTCTCCAGAAAAAAACATGACGTTTGGTTTGGAATGGTGTCGAGAGTCCATTTTTTAAGCTGCGGGAGTGGGGTGTGTCCTGCAAGGCTCCTAGGCCCCTCGGTCCCTGTCTCTCACCACCCCCCCTTTCCCCACTCCCCCCACCGGGTGGGGCCGAGGAGGCGGTGCTAGGAGCCTCCTTATCTCCAGAGCCAGCCGTGGCTCCTTGGCGCCCAGCCCTTCAGTCCGGGCTTTTTGCCATGGGGTCTCTGCTCCTCGTCTTGCTACTGCTTTTGCTGTCGCCCTCCTACCCGCGAGGCGGGAGCGCGCGGAGGCGTCGGAGTGCGCGGACGCAAAGCCCGGGGGGCCGCTCTCACCCACCGTTCTGGGTGCGCGTAAGCCCCGACTTCAAGGCAGTGCCGCTGGGGGGCTCACTGTGGCTCAACTGCAGCAGCAGCTGCCCCCTCCCGGAGGGTTCCAGCCTCCGCACCGAGCTGCGGCGGGGTGAGACGCTCAGTGGGCCCCGCTGGGTAGCCTACCAGCTGCTGGATGTGAGGGCCTGGAGTTCCGATGTGCACTGCTTCGTCACCTGCGCGGGAGAAACGCGGGGGGCCACCGCCAGGATTACAGCCTACAGTGAGGGACAGGGCTCAAGCTGGTCTGGGGTGAGGGGAGGAGGACGGAGTGGGGGTAGTTGAGAGTCGCGCTAGAAGGAGCCCTCCGACCTTGCCCAGCGGCGCCCTCTTGCTTTAGAACAGCCAAGCAGCGTGATCCTGGAGCCTCCGGTCTTAACGGGCAGTGACTACACTCTGCGCTGCCACGTGACGCACGTCTTCCCCGTGCGCTTCTTCGTGGTGTTTCTGAGGCGCGGTGGCCGAGTCATCTACTCCGAGAGCCTGGAGCGCTTCACCGGCCTGGATCTGGCCAACGTGACGCTGACTTACCTGTTACCCTCCCGGCCCCGTGACTCTGGGCAGCCCGTTACCTGCCACGCCCGCCTCAATCTCGACGGCCTGGTGGTCCTCAGTAGCTCGTCACCCGTGACGCTGCCAGTCCCCGGTGAGGCACCCTTATAATCCTGGGAGGAATGGGGAGGTGTTATGACCCCAAGACGGGGCGTGGGCCAAGCTAGAGCATGTCCATGGGGGTCGTTACACCTCCAAGCGCTGTTTCTAATTCTCCCCTCCTATTCCCAGCTTGGAGTCCTGCGTCCAAAGCCTTGGCCTCTACCTCCATCGCAGGCTGTGTGGGGATCTTTCTTGTCGTGGGGGCCCTCTGTCTGCGAAAGTACCTATCGATGCAGCCTCCAGCATAGAGGCATTGGTCCTTGCAGGCTGAACTGGAGGAAAAAGGAATCTGGGAAAATTGGTGGAACCTTGCCTGGATCAATAAAGACTTTCTCAGCAGCTCTGCCCCTGGGCATAAAGTTCCCGTATTAGGGCACCTCCTATGACTGAAGTGGTCTTCTTTTTTGGCCTAGCCTCTTTCATTTTTCTCCAAGTTCCTTGTCTCCCTGAGGGCCCTTGAGGTTTCCTCACTCTGGTCTCCCATACCGGAGCCCCAATCCCTCTGCATTGCCAGCTTGGGTAGTAAAAACCTCTCTCCTGCTCATTATCAGTGAGGAGCAGAAAGGCAAAACATGGGCCCTAGGGGGCTTCAGGATCTGAGAAGGCGGCTTCCTGGTGTGGCTTCTTCTGATTGGCTCCAGCGCTGCCACACAGCAGTTCTGACTGGATGTTAAGTTTCCTACCCCGCCCCCTTTAGACCTTGCACTTTACTGGAGGGCAAGGGCGGGGCAAGAAGTAATCCCCGGAGTTCACCACTAGCTCTAGGAGGGAGGGCACAGGTGGGCGGGGTCATATGTATATTTTGAGGGACCTGGATCTGCAGAAAAGATACCCGGGCGGTGACTGAGGGGAAGGAGCAACCATATGGTGTGTGTGTGGGAGGGGGCGGGTGTGTGTCATAGACTCGCAGCCTGGAAATATCCTGATAGTCACCCGGCCAGGTGGGCACATGGAGAGCGTCCAAATCTGGGGCCCAGAGGCAGGGTCAAAAGTATCACAGTTGGCCTCTTGGCCTCTGGTGGACACAGAATCCAGGCCTACAGCGGATGCCTGGCAAGGCCCGTGTGGTCCAGGACCCCGCCCGCCGCGCAGAAAGCGGATGGGGACGCTCTTCGGCGGCCCCAGCTCACACACGCCGCGCAGACACGTGCCTGCTGCACGCTGGGTAAATACAGACCCAGAGCCGAGCCGACCCTAATTTAGACGCCCGAGAACGCAGCGCGCACGCACACGTGTTCCCAACTCGCTGTCACTTTCGTCCCCGCCCCTTCTGTCGCGTGCGGGGGCGGAGCCAGAGAAAGACTAGAGGCGTGGCTGTAACTCAGCTCCCAGGGGTTAAAGGGGGAAGGATCAGTGAGCGAGACATCTCGAAATCTTCTCCTAGAACCTTCCCACCCCCAGCTTCCGCTTCTCAGATCTCTCCTAGCCCCCAATTCAATCCCCGCCTCAAGGGGCTCTGGTGGGAGGGATTAAATATGGAGATGGAGTTCGGAGTCCAGCTCATTATGGAATCTAAGCAAGTGGTGGGTGGGGGTTTGCGAAGGACAACCCTACATCCCCCACAACCTTCGCGTCGCCGCCGGGGATGACGCGGGAGCGCGCAGCCGCCCCCAGAAGGCTCCGGGCGATGGGGCCGGCCTCCATGTAGACCCCGGGGGTCGCTAGCTCCTGCCAGCACGCCTTCACCAAGGCCGGTAGCCTGGTGCAAGCTCGCCTTCCCGCCCCCTACCGCCGCCACTGCTGCCGCCCCCTCCTTGGAAACCAAGTTACCAACGTTAAACCAATCCCCGAGCGCAACTCAGCCTCCTCCACACCCCACCCGCCGCGCAGCGCCGTCCTCTAGCCCAGCTCAGCGCTCGCGCTCCCCTCGCCTCCTGCGCTTCCCCCGCGGCGGCGATGCCAGGGCCGTCGCCAGGGCTGCGCCGGGCGCTGCTCGGCCTCTGGGCTGCCCTGGGCCTGGGGCTCCTCGGCCTCTCAGGTAAGCCGGTCTGGCTGAGGGTGGACAGGGTGGGGGCGGAGTTCCCGAACCCGAGAAGCGGCCGCAAGCTCCTCCCCTCTCGGCCGTCGCCTCGCTCCCACGCTTTTGCTCCCACCTTGAGCCCCGGGGCCTTCTTCTTTAACCCTCTTCACCCCAACACACACTGAAGACCCAGCTTCCTGACTTCTCGCTCGCCCAGGTCTCTACCCTACCTTCTTCGAGATCCTGGGTGCTCTTTTGCATCCATCCTCGAGCTCTGGAGCCCCCACGTCTCCCTTGACCCCTCCCGGGGTACCTCCTTATATTCTACTATGCATCATAGTCCCTACGGCATCTTCCCTACTCGAAATCAACGAAGACCCGATCTCACCAACTGACGTGACTCAAAGGCGCTGTTTCCGCTCCCCTCGGAGCCCTGGCAACCGAGTCCATCGGCTGTCGGCTGTTCCCGCGGTTCTTTTCTTGAGCCCAGCCCCAAACCTCTTCCTGTACTCTTCACCTCTTCACCGGGGTTTGGAATCCTCCCTTACCCGTGCTTGACTCAGTCTCATCTCTCTTTCGACACCCTCTCCACTTCAACCACAGTCTCGCTCTCTCTTGGCGAGAACAGTGAGAACCAGGTGGTTTCCCTTCCTCCGCCCGAGGTCCCCTCCTCCCAGCATTGCTGTGTGCATTGGAGACCCCATATTCCCCCTCATCTCTCCCCTCCACGTGTGCTTCCCCATCACTCTGCTGGCACCTTGGACAGCAGGACTCTTCGCTGCCATGTACCAGAGACACCCTCGAGGTTTGGGTCTCGGGAGCGCGCTTGTAAACCCGAGACCTCGGCAGGATTTGGAACTCCCGGCTGTGGCCTCTGCTCATTCTCTGGGAATCCCTGACTCGGGCAGAGGGGCAGGTAGATCCCAGGGAGGTGACTCCTAGGTTAAGCTTGCGTTTCTCCGAGCAGCCGTCACTCAGGAACCTTTCTGGGCGGACCTGCAGCCCCGAGTGGCGCTCGTGGAACGCGGGGGATCACTGTGGTTGAACTGCAGCACCAACTGCCCGCGGCCCGAGCGCGGGGGCCTGGAGACCTCGCTGCGCCGGAATGGGACCCAGAGGGGTCTGCGCTGGCTGGCGCGGCAGCTGGTGGACATTCGCGAGCCGGAGACCCAGCCGGTCTGCTTCTTCCGTTGCGCGCGGCGCACACTGCAGGCGCGTGGGCTCATTCGCACTTTTCGTGAGTTCTCAGCGGCCACGCTCTTACTCCACTACTTTCCCTCCCTTCCAGGTCCCGCTCCCTGGGTCACGGGGTCCTCTCCTCCAGACCCCACCCTCTGAATCCGCACCCCCTCCCCCTCTTGGTCCCCGGGGTTCCAAGCCAAGTCCTTCTGAGCCTGGCATTTCCAACAGCCTTGGTTCCTCCTTGCAGAACGGCCAGATCGTGTGGAGCTGGTGCCGCTGCCTGCCTGGCAGCCAGTGGGCGAGAACTTCACCCTGAGCTGTAGGGTCCCCGGTGCTGGGCCTCGTGGGAGTCTCACATTGACCCTGTTGCGGGGAACCCAGGAGCTGATCCGCCGTAGCTTCGCCGGGGAGCCACCCCGAGCGCGGGGCGCCGTGCTCACAGCCACGGTCCTGGCGCGCAGGGAGGACCATGGGGCCAATTTCTCGTGCCGTGCGGAGCTGGACCTTCGGCCGCATGGCCTGGGGCTGTTTGAAAACACCTCAGACCCCAGAGAGCTCCGAACCTTCAGTGAGTAGCTAGGAGGAGAAGGGGCCCAAGAGGGGTCGGGCTGGTGTTTAAGAATTTTGAAGGCAGAGAAATCAGAATTCTGATTCTTGCCCCAACACTCACCAGCTGAAAGTTATTTTCCTCTCTGCCTTGAGGATAATTCCATACTATAGTACATGTGAAGCGCTTAGAACATATTGAGCGTTCGGTACAAAAGTTCAAGCTCTGTTCTTCTACCACCAGCCCTGCCTCCGGAACCCCCTCGCCTCATTGCCCCCCGGCTCTTGGAAGTGGGTTCAGAAGGACCCGTGAGCTGCGTCATTGATGGGCTGTTTCCAGTCTCGGAGGCTGGCGTCTACCTGGCACTGGGGGACCAGAGGCTGAGTCCCGATGTCACCCTCGAAGGAGACGCTCTCATGGCCACTACCACAGCCACAGCTAGCGCAGAGCAGGAGGGCGCCAGGCAACTGGTCTGCAACGTGACCCTGGGGGGCGAAAGCCGAGAGACCCGGGAGAACGTGACTGTCTACAGTAAGAGTGGGACCTCGGGGGTGGAGCCAGAGGAAGTCGAAGGCGGGGCCAATGGTGGGTGGGGCCGTGGTATCCGAATAGGCGCGGCCTGAGAGTCCCGAAGGGGCGGGGCAGATGTTGGACCTGCTGGATAGTAGCTAGAGAGGTGGAGTCTGAGCTGCCCCAACGGCAAGATCTCAGACCCGATGAGGATACCTAGATATGTGGCCTGACCTCCTCGAGGGGGCGGGGCAAGAAGGGAAAGAAGCCTGAACTGCCTACCTGTGGGGTGGGCGTGCCCACAGGGGTCTGGGGCGTGGCGTTTGAGCTGAGTCTTGGAAAGATGGGCGTTCCTGAACCTGCACTGTATGCACTGTTCGGCTGCAGGGGGTAAGTTTCTGGTTACTGAGCTGCAGCCTTGAGCGGTGGGAGGGGCGTGGTCAGTGGTCTCCCGGCCAATGCCCCCCCGCCCCAGGTTTCCCGGAGCCCCTCCTGACCCTGAGCGAGCCCAACGCCCCCGAGGGGACGATGGTGACAGTAACCTGCGCAGCGGAGACCCAAGCCCTAGTCACACTAGACGGAATTCCAGCTGCGGCCCCGGGACAGCCCGCCCAGCTCCAGCTAAACGCCACCGAGAACGACGACAGGCGTGGCTTCTTCTGCGATGCCACCCTCGAAGTTGACGGGGAGATCCTGAGTAAGAACGAGAGCGTAGAGCTGCGCGTCCTATGTGAGTTGGCCTTTAACCTCTCGCCTCCCTCCTCATCATCTCAAGGGCCTGCCTGATCTCTGGCCTTGTCGTGGAAGTGGAGGCTTTTCTCACGTCTAGGCTCCGGTATATATATGCCCTTGCCCTCAGACGCCCCCCGTCTGGACGATTCGGACTGTCCCAGGAGCTGGACGTGGCCGGAGGGACCAGAGCAGACGCTGCGCTGCGACGCCCGCGGAAACCCACAGCCCTCGGTGCACTGCATGAGGCCCGACGGCGGGGCGGTGCTGGCCCTGGGCTTGCTGGGTCCGGTCACTCGTGCGCTCGCTGGCACTTACCGCTGCACTGCGACCAACGACCAAGGCCAGGCGGTCAAGGATGTGACCTTGACGGTGGAGTGTGAGTGGGGGTGCACGGGGCGCGCCTCTGTCTGGTTCTCAGGTCCTAGGGGTGGCCTGACTACAGAGGAGGGTGGAAACAGGGTCTGAGGTGTGCTTTTGAGCAGGATTTTGAGAAGGTGGTGAGCGGGATTATGGGAAGATCTTAAGAGAAGGATGGAGAGGAGGAGGTGGGCGTGTCCACAGGGACCTGGGGCGTGGAGTTTGAGCTGAGTCTTGGAAAGGTGGGTACTCCAAACCAGCTAACAATTTTTAGGTCAAAGACTGGGGAGGGTCCTGTGAGCACTGTGTAGGAATCAGAAAAAAAAAAAAAAAAGCTCACTTCGGGGCTCAGGAAGCCCCAAAACTGATCAGTGCCAAACTCCTTTGCTTCGGTGGCCAGTCCCTGTTCAGAGTGTAGCCTGCCTGCCTAGGATGGGAAAAAAGGGTCCAGGGACTCTAGACTGTCCACTAAACCCAAACTCAACAATACTCCCCTCTCTAGATGCACCAGCGCTGGACAGCGTGGGCTGCCCTGAACGCATTACCTGGCTGGAAGGAACAGAGGTCTCCCTGAGTTGTGTGGCTCATGGAGTCCCACCACCCAACGTGAGCTGTGTGCGCTTTGGGGGAGCCGAGGTCATCGAGGGCCTAATGCGTGTGGCCCGGGAGCACGCGGGCACCTACCGCTGCGAAGCCACTAATGCTCGAGGGTCGGCAGCTAAAAATGTGGCTGTGACAGTGGAATGTGAGTGGGGACAACACGGTTCAAGATTGGGCATGTCAGAATAACCTTGAATAACTGACTTCCAGTTGCTCTGCTCCCCAGATGGCCCCAGGTTTGAGGAGGTGAGCTGCCCCAGCAATTGGACATGGGTAGAAGGATCTGGGCGACTTTTTTCCTGTGAGGTGGCTGGGAAGCCACAGCCAAGCGTGGAGTGTGTTGGCTCCGGAGGCACCAGTGAGGGGGTGCTGCTGCCGCTGGCACCCCCAGACCCTGGTTCCAGAGCCCCCCGCATCCCTAGTGAACTGGCACCCGGTACCTACATCTGCAATGCCACCAATCGGCACGGTTCCATGGTCAAGATGGTCACCGTGAGCGCGGAGTGTGAGCGAGGCCCAGGCGGGCGGAGGGTAGGGGGCGCTCCGGGTCTCGGCCCCTCCCTGACCCACTCCCTCCACCCCCCCGCAACCCCGTGGCTGTTTTGCAGCGCCACCGCAAATGGATGAATCTACCTGCCCAAGTCACCAGTCTTGGCTGGAAGGCGCGGAGGCTGCTGCGCTGGCCTGCTCTGCCCGGGGTCGCCCCTCCCCTCAAGTGAGCTGCTCCCGGGAAGGCGCGCCCTGGCCGCGGCGGCTGCGCGTGTCCCGAGAGGATGCGGGCACTTACCGCTGCCTGGCCACCAACGCGCACGGCACGGACGCCCGGATCATCACCGTGGGCGTGGAATGTGAGTGGGGCAGCACCAGATAGAGGGCACTCGGTCTAGACAGTGACTAGAAGAGGTGGGATTGCCCAGGGTTGTTCGAGGACACCTCTCCTAGTCCCATTCCCAGGAACAAGAAATCCCGACCTTAACATGAGGGTGAAGGGAAACTCTAGGGAACATCCCTCAATTTCTGGTCTGAAAGGCACTGGCCTGGGTCCCCACGTCCTTCCACTCAGTGAAGCCAGGCTCACTTTAATCCCAACAGGCCAGTGGTACGGGGAGGGGACTCTGATGGAAGGCAGAATCCTTGCCTGTTCATTTCAGGAGGGGCGGTCTCAAGGGGGGCACTTGGTCAGCAGCTGGCCCCCTTCCCCCTCCTGTCCCCTGTAGATCGCCCAGTGGTGGCCGAGCTGGCTGCTTCACCTCCAGGAGGCGTGCGGCCAGGCGGGAACTTCACGTTGACCTGTCGAGCGGAGGCTTGGCCCCCAGCCCAGATCAGCTGGCGCGCACCCCCGGGGGCGCTCAACATCGGCCTGTCGAGCAATAATAGCACGCTGAGTGTGGCGGGCGCCATGGGCAGCCACGGTGGCGAGTACGAGTGCGCAGCCACCAACGCGCATGGGCGCCACACGCGGCGCATCACAGTAAGAGTGGCTGGTAAGTGGCAATGGGGAGGAGGCGGGGTGAGGGATCTGAAGGCGGCTGTGACCTGGGCCTTGGTATTATTGATCCCACCCCTGCCTCCCTCTCAACCTCCACAGATGAGACTGATGTGAACCAGGGTAGAAATTAGGGGCGCCCTGATGGGTAGGGCTTTGATGGAGGGTTCGAGGTGGCAAGTGGAGGGACAGGGAGCTGACTGGAGTCAAAGTAAGGGAACCTTCGAGGATGTGACTGTTATGAGGAAGGACTTTATATTAACTTTTGAGCGGTGAAGATTGATACAATTCACCCTCCACTGTGTTTCTGTGGAGAAGGGGGTTGAAGAGGGACCGAGAGAAGAGGATCGGGGTGAGGCCCCTAAGATCCCCACTCTCATTTAGTGTATCTCTAGTTGGGATTGGGTTTTTTTTTTTTGTTTGTTTGTTTAACTTTTTTTTTTAATCATGTGAGATCTTAGTTCCCTGAACAGGGATGGAAACTGCGCCCCCTGCAGTTAAAACGCGGAGTCTCAACCGCTGGGGAAATCCCTAGGGGCTGGGGTCTTTGGGGAGTAGGAATGACCAGGTCACCCTCCCCATCGTTTTGAGGGTGAGGA